TCTTCTTCTGAAGACGAGCTCATTGCAAAAGGCAAAAATAAAATGTACGCAACCTGTCGAAACCTTCACGTTCGCGGAGCGAATAAGACGCTTTGGTATGAATAAACAGGCGAAACAGATTGCGAATTTCGCTCTGAATTTCGTTGCGAATACTTCGCCGCGATTATTTCGCGCCGGTTTGTGGGATGCTTAAGAGTGCATCGCCAAATAATTGAAAATGGTTTTGGAAATCTCCAAAGGGATCAAAACATAAATGTTCGTCAGCGCAGATTTACCCGTATGATTCTGCGTGAGTTTGATAGAGATCCGACCACAAGTGTTAGGAGAGTTTCTGGTGCCTTGGGAATTTCAGCAAGCCATGTTCACCGTGTTCTTAGAAATGACCACAGACGTCCTTACCATTTGCAACCTGTGCAAGGACTACAGCCAGGGGACGGAGAACGAAGAATCACATTTTGTCAGTGGATTCTTGATAGAACTGATAATAATAGGGAGTTTTTAAGTAACGTTTTATGGACCGATGAGTCATGCTTCACTAGACGTGGAGTGGTAAATTTTCATAATCAACATATTTGGTCGCATGAAAATCCGCATGCAGTTCGGGAAAGAAATTTTCAGCATGAATTTAGTGTGAACGTGTGGATTGGTATCTACCGTAATCGACTATTTGGACCCTACCTTTTGCCTGCAAGGTTAAATGCTGCGACCTTCTTGGAATTTTTAAAGGCTGAACATGCAAATATGTGGGATGATATGTTAGATTTAAGAAGATTGGCCTGGTTCCAGCTTGATGGTTGTCCAGCTCATTATTCGAGAATAGTTAGAAACTGCCTGGGCGAAAATTATCCAGAAAGAGGGATCGTCCGGGGAGGACCAGTCGCCTGGCCTCCACGATCCCCTGACCTAAATCCATTAGATTTCTTTGTGTGTTGATTTCTAAAAGAAAAAGTGTACCAGACTCCCGTAACCACAAGAGATATGCTAATAGACAGCATCAGGAATGCATGTGATGAAATAAGGCCTTATTTGAATAATGCTAAACCACGTTCGATCATTCGTAGATGTGAATTGTGTATTGAACAATTAGGTTTACGTTTCGAGCAACTACTTTAGATTTTGTATGTTTGTCCTAACGATCCAATAGCATTTTAGTTGTAAATAATTAATTTAATTTATTAAAAATGATATTGGAAAATTAAACAAATTAATATTCTGTTTTTTTGTGTTTATTTGGAGTTAGGAATTATTGCTGTGTTTAAATACACAATCTAAACGATCATCTTAATTACTTGTAATGCCCAAATCGAAAATGTAAAAAAAATATTAGTTTCCCATAAATAATTAAAAATGCATCGAACCTTAAAAATCGAAATATCTCAAAAACGGCTAACTATAACGAAAACTCACAGGAGAGCTCTTTTATGTTGAAAAGTGCGAAGAATCAGTTTTTTTATTCAAAAAGCAAAAAATTGCATCAAGAAATTTTTTTCGCCTATTTTAATACACTACAGGTACAGTAGAGAGCGCCCTCTAGTGGCTACAGTAAAACTATGCCCATGGTTCGTTTTGTGTTACCAAAAAACCCTTGTATACCAATTTTCACTGTTATACATCAAATATTGTTCGAAATATTTAAAAAAAACTATTTTAGAAAGTAAATTTAAATACCCATTTCGGAAGCCACGCATTTTTCGACCCATGTTTATATAGACTTTATGCATTAATTTTAAAAGTTCTATCGAATTTTAAAGTTATGCAACAATAAACTGAAACACCCTGTATATTATTTGGGAGTGCTAGAAAACGTGTATATCTCATAGCTACTTCTACTATGTGAGCGATATTGGACGTGGAATATTTAAATTTGAAACATCCATTTTAACATAAATCCTCTTATGGATTTTTCTCTCACTCTGAGTAACTTTTTGACATTTCAGTTGCGGAACTGTTGAACCGCCACCCAACTGTGCAATATTCCCTGGAGACTTGAAAGAACCTTATCCAGAATGCTGTTACAAAATCGTATGCCCATAAGTTGTATTCAACCTTTTACGGATGGAAACTATATAACTTAATGTTCTGGTGTTGTCTCTTGGAATATATATTATTGAAATAAAGGTTTTTACAATTATAGTTCAACATTCATCAATATGCTTGCAAGTATTATAATCGGAAGCTTTATTTCTCTGTCCAGATTAACCTTTTTTATGACTACATAAAGTGGCACAGTACTATCACATCCAAAGTTGTAAATTATTTTATTAATTTTTAAAGACATGATGATCTAACGAAACCTAAACTACTTCCATGTCGGCCGAAAATGTGAAATAATGGTCGTACACTTTGTCATTCTTTATTTTGTGTTGCTAACGAATAAAAGCATATCCAATAATACGAGCCCCTTCCCACTTCAGTTGGCCCACTTCAAGATTTGTACCAAAATATGCCTTTATAAACTAAACATGACGAAAATATTTACTTCTAAAACAATTTATTTTTCAAAAACATTTTAGATACACTGTAGTCGTAAAAAATACATATTTGAAATCACTTAGACCTATAACTAATAGAACATCTGAACAAATAAACAATGTGCGAATAAATGCGCGAAGTTAACAGAGCAACAATTGAGAGATTACCATTGGGTAACATCACCTTTATTTTTTATTACGGCTGAAATTCTTTGGGGCATAGTGTTAACCAAGTTTTGGCAAAAATTCGAAATTCTCCTTCCAACAGCGTCACTCCACAGAGCACTTAATTGTAAATAATTGGTACGCCTGTTTTTCACGATTATTCGTCTTAATGCTCTTCGGTCGGCATTTGTGATATTACTTTTTTTCACATATCGTGGCTTAATATTAACTGAACCAGTTACGTTATATCTTCTAACAATATTTCTCACACTGTACCGCGATAAGTCTAACAAAGCTGCAATTGCTAAGTTTGATTTCCCAGAATTAAAAAATTTAATTATCAGTAACCGAATTTTCTCACTAATAACCTTTCCTCTACCCATTTTGAAAACCTTAACTACCCAAAACTATTTTAAACGTATTCTGACAGCTGTGATTAATAAAAACAATTGTCATGGCTTTTGTTTTTAACAGCCACCTATGCGTTATAGACTTATTTTGCATTGAAATGAAAATAGGTTGATATGCTGTAATTGCAACATGTGTTATTTTTATGCTGCAAATTTGATTAGGGAGTGATAAAGTTGGTGTTTTCTACTATATATTATCAAGATATTCATTGTTAATATTTTAAACCTATAACACCCTGCTACATTTTTATTATTTGTGTTTGATAAGAAAAAAACTAAGATTTCAATAGTTGGGCCAACTGAAGTGGGAAGGGGCTCGTAATATAAAAGTACACGGCCAGTGATGGCACACTTCACCACCAATTTAGGTATGTAATGTACTGTTATTATAAACCTCACATGACTCGATCAATGATGTGTGTTCTCTTATTTCTTTCACAAACTTTATAAGTTGACAAGCACACGGGCAGTTGAACCATTTCAACATAAATAAATAGCGTTTATTCTCCAACAGCTAAGGAAACCGTTTACAGGTCAACATATCAACATACAAAATATTCTATCTACAGGAAAAAACAAACAAGAAAAAGCAAAAACAAATTTACCTCAAGTAAGAAACATATCATATATTGTTTAGTAATTCCTAGCTACTCCCAGAATGCTGTTCAAACTGTCAGCATGATGTATATTACAATAATTCGATATGGCATTAAAAGTTTCACACATTACATATATGGGTGCTTTCAAAAATAAATTTGTGCGAGCCCTGTCACAATAGAAGGTTTTAACGGTACGAGTGCGAATAGGTGGGACAAAGTTTAGTAGAGCCACAATCTCATTAGCATCAGTTTGATTATGCAGCAGTTTATGCAAGAAAATAATTGACGCACACTTCTTTCTCAGCTCTAAAGACTACACCGTCTACCTTGAAAGATAAAAATTTGATAAACTGTCTCTGAACATGCTCAAGAGAATCAATGTAGCAGTAGTATATTGGGATCCAAATTAAGGATGCATATTCCAATTTCGATCTAATATATGTAGAATACAAAACCAACAGTGACTGCGCGGCTGAAGCTTCTAAAATTTCTTCAATAAAACCGGTCACCCGTGAAGCTTCACTTGTTTTTTGAGCTATATGGAGCAAATAATTCAGTTTATGGTCAAAAACTAAACCCAAATCCTTAATTGAGTCGCAACGATTTATGTAATCATCCCCAATCTTATAATTAAATTTACCAACAGACGTTTTTCTGGGAAAGCTGACTACACTACACTCACACTAATTAAGACATAAATTATTCTCGTCACATCAAGCTACTAAAGCATCAATATCCCGCTGATGTGCAATGCAATCAGCCTCAGAAAAAATAATCCTGAATAATTTTACATCATCCGCACAGAGGAGTTTATTACAACTTAAATATTGCGCAATATCATTATAAATAAGTAAACTATAATGGACCGAGGTTTGAACCCTGATGCACTCCGATTTAGTTACATAATGGTACGACTTGAAGCCATTGAAATTACGTATACATATTGCTTCCTTTCACAAAGTTAACTTAGAATGAGTGCTTAAGCTGATGATGGAATCCATAATAAGAAAGGTTATTTAAAAATGTATATGCAATATCTTGCATAGCTGAATTAAATATCATCTTGATTCATTATCGACGATGACCTTAGCAATACTTTCGAACTGAATGCAATGACATCAAACAATAACTTCGGAAATTCCACACATCCTTAACTTACTACCTTAAAGTATCCTTACACAAGTCTAGGAAAATTCAGGGTTAATGTGGCTCATTATAATACATATGCATATCTCACAATTTATAACCATGTGGATTATTTAAACAGGTAGGTGAAGCCGAATGATGACGGGAAACATTGGAAGCGTAACTAGAAATGTATTTAAAACAATATTAAAAAATATGAGCACTTTTAGGGAAAATACAGGAGAGAGTAGACCGTAAACGTGCATATTTCCATCTTGTCGCTTGGAGTTTTCCGTTAATAATGACTATAACGACTATGGCGATAGGCGAAATTGATGGCGATTTTGTAACAGGCATTTGTTTTGTTGGGGTGATTAGCAAAGCTGCTCGAACAGGATTGTTACTGGCTCCTCTTGCTGCTACAATGATTGTCTCAGCTTATATAATTGCGAGAGGTTCGTATAATTACAGACGTTCTATAATAACTTAAGATTTTAGTTACCCTCATTTCATGGCTTATGAAAATTTTGTGTAGGGTACACAAATCTGCACCCGTAGTATGTAAAATCGCTACGATAGCGATCTGACCGTCATACTTGTGACCTATAGTCAACGCCAAACAAAGTGGCGTGCACGTCATCACGATAAAAATTCCCCGACCTAATGCCTAGGTTTCTATCACAAACAGTTGCTCTATTGCAGTTTCATATTAATGTGATATATAAATTGTAAAATGGTCATTACTCTCTTATTATGGTTAATAGTCATATAAACATTGTTATTAAAATATCACATAAGTTGCTTTCTGATAAATTTAGACGCATTATGCGAAATAAAATGTTTTGCAAACGCTCCAATCACTTATCGACATGTAAACGCACTAAACCGATTTCGCAGCGTTGACACATTGTCACCTTGAAACTTATTTAAACTGGGAACTGACATTTGTATTAATTTTGACACTGAATCAATTTGTGGCATTTCAAATCTTTATAAATCCTTTGGCCCCGCATACTGTAAATCAACAACTGTTTGTTTCAAAACAAAATTATTCATTTTACGAGTAGATAAAGGCAATTTTGGTATATAAAGATGCCCAAACAGTTAAATAGTCGGTGTAAGGAACTCGTGGCCTCGTTAATGCACTACTTTGAGCAAGAAAGGGACAACAACGGGCCTTTGTTGCCTTTAAATGCTGTTCAAGAGGTAGGTTACTAATAATTATATGTAATGTATATTAATAATAGTGAAATTTTATTTCATTTTTTGTAGCGTGTTGCTGCTGCTTTAAAAATTAGTTTAAGGATAGTTAGTCGTATTTCCGAGGGTGTGAAAAGTGATGCAAATTTAGAATCGCCCAAGAAAAAGCGGACTTATATTAAACGTGTAACCAACACAGCGACATTGGATACAAGTGCCATTCGAGAAGTGATCTATAATATGTATCACAAAAGTAAGATCTTATTATAATAACTTATCAGAAATTTGCATTAATTTGTTAACTAAATTATAATGTCATATTACACATGGTTTCAGAAGAACAAGTTACGATACAAACTTTATGGTCTCGATTAAGAGATAGGGCATTATTTGATGGTAGTGCCACGTCTTTAAGGCGGTTGCTTAGAGATCTTGGATTTAAGTGGCTTAAGGACAATCCGCGACGAGGGCTCATGGAACTACCAAGTATAGCTTTGAAAAGGGTGGAATTTCTAAGGCAATACAATCAAGCCAAGGTTGAGGCCTTATACCAGTTTGTCTTCCTCGATGAAACTTGGATATTTCAAAATGGGACCATAGGTCGCTCTTGGCAAAATGGAAACCAAAAAAGCGTGAAAGCTATTAAAACAGATGGTAAAAGGTATGTACTTTTACACAATTTGCACTATAAAATTTAAAACTAATATATTTTAGATACATTATATTACATGCTGGAAATGAAAATGGGTTTATTGAGGGTAGTGAAGCGATATTTTCTTCGAAAACAAAATTGAGCGATTACCATGGAGAGATGAACCAGGACAATTTTTTGAAATGGTTTCAACATCAGTTATTAGAAAAATTGGAGAGTCCATCTATGATTATACTGGATAACGCCCCTTATCACAGCATGATATTGAACAAAGTGCCCAACAATGCATGGACAAAAAAAAATATCCTAGACTGGTTGACAAATCTAAACATACCATTTTTAAACACAATGTTTAAAACAGAGCTATTGAGTATTGTTGCTCGGTACATAATGCTTCTTAATTATATATATTTTGGTCGACAGTTTATATTTCTTTTGTTTATTCCTATTCTTAAAATAACTGCTTTTTTAGAAACAAACCAACTAAAATATACGTGATTGATGAATTGGCGGAACAACATGGGCACAAAGTTCTTCGTCTGCCTCCTTACCATTGTATATTTAACCCTATTGAGTTAATTTGGGGCATAGCAACAGACATATTGGTAGAGATGGTAACAGTGAAAAAGACTTTTTGGATATGTGGAACGAGGCTCTACAAACGGTTACCCCAGACATGTGGAAAAATAGTGTTCGACATACTGAGCAAGAAATTTTTAAATGGTATGAAAGAGAACGAATTTTTGATCGTCGACCAGACATCGAACCTTTAATAATCAACTTTGAGAGTGATGAAGATTCAGATTCAGACAGCGCTGAAGAAAGAAACTCCGACTAACTTTATTGTACAGAAAAAGCTTACACCAGTAGCTTACCTAATTTTAGAATGCATTTTTCTGTATGAATTCTGTAAAATAAATACCATGCATAAAATTTGGAGGACCCCATTTGGATTTTTATTCAGTACCTTTAAGCTATCAATTAAATATGGTAGTTTCATAGTGTCATCTGATCAATAATTGTCATACTTAATGATTATGCAAGTACAGATCTATAATTTTATTATACTATTATTTTGTTCTCATTTGAGGTTAATATTGCTTATAAACCTAGATATGTAAATAATAAATTTTATTATTTTACAAAAAGTTTGGCAACAATGTAAATTTTTCAACACACCCACCTTGATGACGTGCACGCCACTTTGTTTGGCGTTGACTATAGCTAGTTTGCTGTGAACGCTACAAATGGTGAAATGGCACAACCACTTGTAGTATAGAACATACAACTTAGGCTGTGGAATCTATGAATGGCCTCAGCAAGTATGCAGATCTTACATCAAATAAGAGCCACAAGGGACTGGGCAGATGAGTGGTTAGCGCGGCATGCGACTCGAAGTCTTGCGGGTTCGAATATCCGCTTCGGAAGTTAATTTCGAGCGATGGCTATTGTATTTGTCTATGAATTGCGCTACAGGTGGGTGTAAGATCAGCGTGGGTACATCGCACCACTGGAGCTGGTTTATTCAATAACCAGTTACCGGTAGATGGCATGTGGTGGTAAAGTGTCCGTAAAAAGGGTCGAAGGTGGTATAGTTGCCAGGCTTTGCCTTCACTACCGCTATTACTATTACTATTACTGCTACTACATCAGAGCCTCAGCACATAGCTCAAGTGTCTTGATCTTTAGGCAACACACACAGCTACTACAAGACGTAAAGAAGAAAACAGAATGAAGCTAGTTCCAAAATCACAATTATGACGGTCAGATCGCTGTCGCTTTCATTTTGCAGTTACTTAACATGGGGGCTTTTATTTTGTGGAGCTTCTAAAGATACCACACGGAAACAACTAAGCATATTTCGTTCTCAATTCCAGGTTTGCTTCTATTGATTAAAGTGAAGGCCGAAAGTGAAGAGATTATTTCCGAACATTCAAGTAGGAAAATAAGGTCAAACATCGTTAGAATGGGAGTGTTCGCAACTTTCATGACCATATTTTGTTTTATTACCTTTGGGTATCATCATTACCTTTTCCAGAATACTGAGCTTTGGCAGAATAGTCTGAGGAGCTATATTTTGTGAGTTTCCCAACATTTTTTATTTTTATTTTTGTTGATTGTATTGGTACTGCAATTATATAAATTAAGAAAGACTAATCAGTTGAGGGTTGCTTACATTACCACATTTGCTTAAAACATGAAATATATTTTATGATTATTATCATTGCAATTTTTAGATGCAAATTGACGAACTTGGGGTTTGATTCTTCCCATTGTAAGCAAGACAGTCGTCCTAGCGTAGCAATGTTGCAATTACAATTGTTAGCATTGTTTGGAATTGGACTTTCAATGGCTTCTTGGGTATGGTGCGATTCCACTTTGCATACTTGGGGGCGATACATACGAAGGTAAATAAAATTCACAAGTATCAATTTGATGCATATTGCCTTAAAAATCATTTGCTTTTAAAACTAGTTAGGATTCGACTATTAAGCAGTTTTTTTAATTCTTGACTGAAACTGGTTAAATACGAGGTAAATACCAATCATTGGAGTGATGATGAAGCGAATGAATATGAATCGGACATCACAAAAACATCGTGAATGAATTTTCTAGGAGACACTGAACACTGTGTTATTGACAAATAAACCAGTGTTAAGGTACTTTTGGGGCTTGATATAGTATGAGTATTTAAGTTTTTAACGAGTAAACTTTCGAATAATCTTCACTGGACTTACGTTGTATCAAATAAGGTTATTAATATACAGGGTGCTCCAAATGGCATGGATCAAACGAAAGGGAGTGATAGGAGGAGTCATTTCTAATCAGCTTTACACGATATGTTCCCAAATTATGTATCAGTGAAAAATTAGTCCAGTTAATGTAAGCATGGCAACCGGCTTAATCGCAATTGTGTCTGTTGTTAGCTTATTTGACAAGGTCTGTTCAAAAAATTGGTGGGCAAGTAAAGTGTGCGTAGCTATAAAAAACCTCTTGATATCACCGTTTTCCAATATACCTTTAAGATAATCAGATATCCTGAATCGCTTTTGTCAAGATGAACAAAATGCTGCAGGTACCCTGAATCTCAAAAATTCTCATTTTGTGAACCTAATCCTATAACTGTCATTGTTAACCTTCTGAGGACACAACTAAGGGACCAAACGTAAACAATCCACTGATGGTATAATCGCATTTATCGTCTTTTTGAGATAAAAGTAGAAGAAATGGACAGCAAATCATTAAACGTAAATAGACGCTATGAATCCATCCTCCAGAATAGGCGGTATTTACAAAAAAACCTGGAGTGCATTGTACGGAGGAGCCCGATTACACTGGAACCCCATTGTTTTGCTGCTAGCTTGTTGAAGGCATGTCTAAGTCCTTGACTTATGTTTATGAGATAGACGTCGATTGTGATTTTTTTTTTAAATGACCACTCCATATTATTTTCTCATTTGGAGTTGTATTTTGTAGGAATTTTTAATTTTTTTTAGAAAATTTAACTGTGAAGTGGAAGAGCCGATGAAGTTACCAAAACATAAAATAATCGCACAAGCATTTGCAAAAAGGAAGAAGTTCAATGAAGGAGGTCAAATTTCGATCCTATGTCAGAATCATACTGATCCTGTGGGTTTACATTTCGAACTGAACAGCGTGGCAAGCAATGAGCTGAGTACCACATGGGCCGCTAATCTGGCCAGGTTTGTTAATAGACGAGGAGCAGTGCCAAATGAAATAGCTAATTCTATTTCTAGCAATAATCAATCTCTTGATAGTGAGGTTAGTATATATTTTCTGCAGCCAAGGTCTTCTAAACACAGCGTCCTTTTTATCAACCTGATTAGCGAAATCTTAGGAATTCAATTATACACCACTTTCCCACCTGATCGCACTTAGCGAAATATTCGAGGTCTGTAAATTAAGTGATGAGAGTGGCAACGTAACGTTCGATCTGGCAACACTGGACGGGCCAGGCTTGGAGGGCAGACAGGGGAACATATAATCCGCTTTCAGTACAAGTTTGAACTCGCTCGAGTCATTTGGTTGCGAGTAGCGATTTTTTTTGTGAAACGTTTTTTCTATTGTGTTCTAAAAATGAGTGACATCAATTTCAAGCAACGGTGTGCTATCAGGTTTTGCTTCAGACTTGGGCGCAGTGCAACAGAAGCTCTTGCTAAACAGACCGACGGAGATAGTGTTTTGTCCAGTGCCCAGGTTTTTCAGTGGTTTAAGGCATTTTCAGAAGGGAGAGAGAGTCGATTGAAGATGACTCACGAAGCGGAAGGCCTTCATCTTCAAGAACCGATGAAAATATCGACAGAATCCGGGAATTTGTTCGTTCAGATCGTCAGTTACCAGTCAGAATGATCGGGCAAGATTTAAATTTGACTCACGCCACCATTCACCAGATCAAGACAATTATAATGCTTCTTGTCACACAGCAATGTGAATAAACGAGTTTTTGGCCAGTAAAAACATTCCTGTGGCTCCTCAGCCTCCTCATTCACCTGACTTGAGTCCTAGTGACTTTTTTCTCTTTCCGAAGTTGAAAAATCACCTCGAGGGAACTCATTTTGGGACAGTCGAAAACATTCAAACGGCTGTAATCGACCAGCTGAAGGCCATTCCAGTGTCGAGCAGCACTGGTATGAGGAGCGCTGTGTGGCTTCAGAAGGAAGTTTTTTGAGGGTTACAATATAAAATTGTAATTATATTTCTTTAAAAACATTAAAAAACAGTCATCACTTAATTTGACCGCGTAACATGGTTTTGAATATATAAAAATGATTGGACATTTTTTGGGATGTTTTTTTTTGTTGCCTAATTTCTCGTATTTTAGGTGAGCCTCAACGTTAGACATGTAAGCATAGAGAGCAGAAGAAATTCAGGAGACAGCCAGTTGTCTGTTCAAATTGCAGAATTGAAAGCTACAAGAAAGGTGAGTTAGATTCGTATTTTCAGTCTATGCTAAAAAACGTATTGAATCATCAACAATCTACGTTCTTCTCAGGTCAAGTCCAGGAGACATAGGACTACGCACAAACGTTACTGTCGCCGGAATTCGAGGAATCTCGGTAACTCAACGTCAAAACTGTCAAAGTCAACCACAAAAAGGGATAGTAGCACCAGCCTGGATTCTCACATGCAGTTGATCAATGCTTTGACGCATACCGGCGATATCAAGAGCTTCGCTCCCAATCTAAACAGGAGAGTAGCGAATGCCGGACTAGACGGACAGCATATTCAACAGTTGTTAAGTAATGGAAAACTTGTTATTCCGCGAGGTAGGTACCTCAATAGGATCGAATTTTCCATTTAGGACTGGCTGTGTTGACTTGAGTTTAGTCGCAATTTATTAAATATCTGAAGTTTTTTTTTCGACGTACTGTGTTGACATCCACAATAGCGGCAAAAATGAACACATATGTGGTTTCATTTAGCGGCCAGGAAACATTGAGTTCTGGCATGCCCACGTTTCTTTGATCGAATTATGTAGTGGAAACTTCAGACTCCGTTTTTAAAAAAAACTTTATTTGGTTGGTTACAACAATATTGTACACGGATGGAACCGGTATTTCAGTGTATGTTTTGCTGTGACTGAGATTGTCTCTCTGACTGGAGAAATGAAGTAAAATTGTTAATATAAACCAAAAGTGATATTCTAGCAAAAAGGAATACAATGCAATTATTATATCAATTAATAAAGTTTAAAAAGACAGTCACATAACTAGCGGTATCTACTGTTTAGTTCACGAGATACTCCATATATCATTTAGATGGGTCTTATGAGAAACGTGATATTTTTTCGTAATCCAATCTACTTCAGAAACAAATCTACAGAAACATGTTTTTGAAAACTGGTCGTTTGAAACTTGAGGGGCATTAAAACAGACAAAATATGAACAAGACCCATTGACTTGTTTTTAAATGTTTAGTCGATAAATTTGATTTTTCCTATATAATCGCAAAGGAAAAGAATTATATGAATTATATAACTGTTAAAGGGAGGCACTGCTACGTATTACTGATTGTATGAATCAGCATTAAAACATTACTAAAGAATTGGGAGGTAATACTGCAAGTTGATAAATTCAAAGTTTCCGAACATTGCTAATACCGTAAGAAAAATTTGAATGGAGAATCGAATTCAACTATCAATAACTTTTTTTACACCGAAGCAGCCACGCAGACAGAAGCCTAAATGCCAGGGCACCGCGGCTGCATTGAGGATCACATAGTTCTTAGTCCCCAATAAATAGCCTAGGTTCGTGCCAAAACAAGTCTTTGGTGATCTGGTCTCCGACCAGCCCAAATAAACTGCTCTTTGGCAGAACTCGGCCATCCATCGAAACCGGATGAGCGCTTCGACGCGTTTTGTTCGTGAAGGTACAGTAGTGTGTTTTGGAAGCATTAAACTGTACAACATCGTTGCGTCCCCAAGCGGTGATAACCTCCAGGTCTCTCGTCAGAGGGAAGCAGGATCGGCTTGTCGCTCTGAGTTCCTGCATGTCGAGTACTGTCATCAGCAAAGCTCTAGATTGGATTGATCGTACAGGAAAGGAAGTCGTTGATATGTAAGAGGGACAGCGTCGGAGCCAAGGGAACGTACCCGTCATACTTGTAACTTCTCTTCTAAATTTCGCAGATTGTGTAAATTTCAAATGGTCAACGCGCCAGAACATACTATCAAAACTGTTAACTACAACTTTTTTCAGCCACCAGTTGTAACGGAAAAACTTATGGAAGTGAGGATGAAAATGTATCAGTAACATATTCCGAAAGTACCATAAACATGAAAGTACAAAATAATCTCGACTTGAACGACGAGTTGGTGATGAAGTCATTGAAGCAAGGCCTAAAGATTGAACACTTGGATAGTTCAAGTTGTGAGGATAGCAAGGATTATGATCAGGAAAAGAAGACAAAGTCTGGCAGGGAATCCCACTCCAGTCGCCGGTCAAAGAGGTATATTGTTTGTTTTTTCAAATATTCCCAATAATCATCGTAAAACATTTTTATGTAATTTAACAAGATAGTAGTATTTACAAATTATGAGGTAAACCGTTTCTTGGTTTCACAGGTCCAAGATGTCGAGAAAGAAATATACCAGTAAAAGCTCCGGAAGTAACAGTGACAGTTCATCATGCCCTGAAATCAAACAGCTTGTGCAAAGCTCTTTGAACTCTGGAGTATCGACTGAAAAGACACGTCAGGGTTCTAGACAGTCAAAAATGTCCAACGATGTTGCTATTCAAACTAATGCTACGGACATGGACATTGAAATGAAGAGTCTGAACAGAAGTACAGAAGATGAAAAGAAAGTAAGAATATTTGGTGTAATTTGTAATTATAGCAAAACATAGAGCTTCCAAGTACTATTCTATGGGTTGACAAATTATCACATAGTTCAGACTAATTCAACAATAGTATTCAAGTGATATATCAGAAGCATTTTCCTATCACTAGTATTTTTTAAACATCTGCTATATGATGTATCGTGTTCCAGCCTAAAAGCAAGAAGATGAAAACTAAAGAGAACAAAAAATACCGTAGTTCAAGTAAATACCTGGAAGATAAAATGAGACAGTCGAAAGAAAAGTACAGAGAGTATGGCAGTTCGCAAGAGAGACAGTCTCTTTATAAAGATAAGACGTATTCCGATATGAGCGACGAAGAATTGATTAATAAGAAAGAAAAGAATAAGGCAAGCATCAAAAAGTCAAAGGAAATGTTTTGATTTTTCATCATCTTCATTTTGAGATGTGTTTTGTATTTTGTGTTTAACTATTGACTGAAATTCGTTACATTCACAAGATCTCATAGCAACGTAATTATGTAATGAAATTGGAGGGTATTCATATACATGCTAGTATTTTCAACTGAAGGTTAAATTTCGACATTTCTAACAGTGTTTTCTTACCGCAGTTGTTTGTTGAACGTAAATCTGTGCAAATATTTTAACTGCTAGCTTTTGTCTTTCCATAATCAGTCTAATTATTTGGATAAATCATTTTTACGTATGCACTGGGCGCATTTTAAACCCAAGGCATGGCTACAGTATTTGTGAAAATATGTTACCAGGAATGTATCTTTTTACACACTTTAATAACAATTAGATCTGTCTTTTAACTAATCATCACACCCAAATTTTCTGTTATCATGAATTTGTGATATTTTTTTGTATATAGTCTTATATCAACTTACATAATGGTATCATAGTTATGTTTAATTTGATTATTAGTAGTTTCAACGAATGTTCTAATTGTTGATATCTTTAAAGTATGGAGAGTCTCCATATCCATACACAGACTGAATATGGTTTTATTTAAATAACTTTTTTTAGATTAAGATAATGTTTAAGATTAAGCATCATTAAGTTTAAGTATGACTAATACTCTTCTATATTTTTATAGAAACATTATTGAAATGTTATGTATAAACATTGCGTGTCGTACTCGCCAAATACTGAAATTGAAGGATGGGTAGTTTTACTCAACTAGTAAGGATTCGGGGTAAATTTTAAATCTCAGTTATACCACACTTCAAAACTCTGATGGCCCTTTTTATACAGAACTGATAATGCAACATATTTTGGTTGATTTACGCGAATTAGTTCAATGCACATTTTAGTGACATGGAATTTGTTATAGATGTTCACAAATGTGTAACATTTGTATATAACCTTGACTGGTATGAACCTTGTTAGTGTCTTAGGTTATTGTGCAGTTCATATTTTTGAATTGAATTTTGAAGACTTGCTTGTGTGCCTTCATGGTTTGTAATTTTATATGAAATTTTCAAATATACATTTATCAAATTTCTAATTCACTCAGTTTTATTCTTGCTTTATTTTTACGAGCATTTCTGATACTCCTCAAACTTCATAAAATCAAGCCTGAGATAATGCAGTGATAAAAACAAATAGGTTAACAGAAATGGGGAGGGGGCTCACTAGTTTCCGAAAACGTCATAAAACCTTGGAAATAGAAAATTAGAAAGTTTCCTGTAGTCGATAAATACTGCTAGTTTTCACCTGCAGACGAGGCGTATCTCTTATGAAGTGGGATTTGACTAAACAAAACGACTTAGGTAAAGGAGAGAATATTTATTGTTTTCGAAGTATTCGCCTTTAAACCAGCGGCGGCTCGTGGTCTATGATACAGGGGGTTCACAAGTGGTATGAAATCATTTTTTTTGTCACCACCAAAATTTTTTTCTTATGCGTGACGTAGAAGGCAATAAGAGCACTAAAACAAGCATCAAGGACACATTTTTTGTTATAATACTCAAGAAAATACAGTTATAAAAAATACAATTTTTTTAATGAGTACAGTGTTTAAACGTAAAGTCCATTCTCCTGTTTTTATTTGCAGAAAATTTATCAATAACAGCCTCGTTAAAGTTTGGAACACCCGCTATACATTTTTTCTCGATAGATAGCATTGCTAGGGCTGACAGTCTTTCTTCATTCATAGAACTTCGCAAAAATGTTTTTATTCTCTTCAATGTCGAAAAGCATCTTTCACTTTCGGGCGTAGTCATTGGTATGGAAACAATTATTTGTAAAAGTGTAAAGGTGGCACAAAATATGCTCTGAAGATTATATTCTATAAAAAACTGTAACAAACTAATGGCACCACTGAAATTTCTGAAATCAGGTCGCCGGTAAATTAATTCCAATTCAGTCTGGAGGCGAACTTTATCTAAAAACGAATATGCTTCTTCTACAGTTTCCAAATATTGCAATGGAAAAAGCTTTTCAAATTGTGGAAATTTATCAGCAGAAAAAAAAATAGCTGCATTTAAATGTTTTGTAAAAGAAAATCTATCTGTTATGTGTGTAATTATGGTAACACAAACTTCCTTGGCTGCTACAGTTCTGCAAATATGCTAGTCTTCATTTGCACGACGCTTTTTAGTTTGAGTAGTAGTGGTATCTCCAGAAATTTCAGTTTCAATTGTTACCAAGCAGTCTCTCTCTTTTTGGATGCAGTTTTTAAAACACTTTATGGTAGTCTGAATTTGCACTGGGTCAGTCACTGTTTTTTGTAACCGATTATATAAAATATCAGCATGTGGCAATATTCGATAAAATACAGTTAGCCAGAACACAAACTTAGAATCTTGTAGCATACGGCCAATACCAGTGGCTTGATTGATGGTAACAGTTTGTTTTGAAGTAGCTTTTATTTTTTCCATGCATTCTATTAACAATTCGCGATATTTATATACTGTATTTATAGATCTGCTTTTAAAATTCCATCTTGTAACAGAAGACCTAGGAACTCTTGCACCAACAATTTCATCCAAAACTGCAACTCGTTGTGGAGAATGAGAAAAAAAAGTTGAAATATCGCTTAAATTTGAAAAAAATACCCGTACTTCTTGATTTTGGCTTGTAGCTTGGGATAAAATCAAATTTAGCTGGTGGGCATAACAATAAACGAAATAAGCATAAATATTATCACGTTGAATAAGAGCTTGAACACCTCCATGACGTCCACTCATTACACTAGCGCCGTCATAACTTAGAGCTATCAGTTTCTCTGGTTTATCCTGCATTTGCATTAAATTAGTTTTCACACATTCTGAGAGACTAACTGCATCGTGGTCAGGGGGGTAACAAAATTCCAAAAACGTTCAACTGGCCTTCCATCTGGTAGAATGTACCTAAATACTGTAGTCATTTGATAACAATTAGCTACATCCGTTGTTTCGTTAGCCATAACAGCAACAAATTCAGCTTCCAAAATTTCTTTTCTCATATTTTCTGAGCCACATGTAACATGCAATCTAACAATTCGTTTTGAATGATTTTCGATACCCCTTTGAATACTGTAGATTTTTCAAAATGATCCTTAAGTGCTATATCTAATTCGGCAGTGAAATTTATTAAACCTCTAAAAATACCAGGATTTGATGAACCATCTTTTTCGTCGTGACCGCGGACGGCTAATTCAAAAGCTCCGCAAAATTTTATGCAATCAATAATTTTTGAAAGCACATTCCTATTTTTTCTAACTTGTTCATTTTGCTGTTGAATACTGCGCCTATATGCACTGTCCAACTGCTGCCGTATATCTACTTTTCCCAAAAGCTGCATTTCCAGTTGCGCATTGATATGGACTTGAGTGTTTTCATGTTTCTTAATTTTTTGTGCTAAATGTCCCAAGTCGGCTATTCCATTTTTTGTCCAGGCAGGCTCTGCAACCCCGCGACCAAACAACAAACAGGAAAAACAAAACAAACGGTTTGTTGTGCTCCATCTATAAATCCAGTCATTCTTTTCATATATTTCCATTTTAAACTTTCTAATAAAGTCTCTAGATTTACCCTTTGTGGTCTGAGTTAATTTCTGGTGTAGGTCTTCCCGCATTTTTTATTTCAATTTTTTGCTCCAAACTCAAGGAACTGAAGTTATGTTTCAAATATTCCACAGTGAAACCATTCATTTTAACTCAATATCGTATTAAAATACTGCTACGAACATAAAAATTCGAACACACCTCCAATTACTGCATAAAATGCATGCGCAACCGACAATTGCGCACTCCAGACGTGTGCGCCTTCTCCAACTAAAATTGCGATAACCCCGCTATACTCCGCAACCAGAACAGTAGGGAGAGAAACACACTAATCCCGGGTACATGATCGCATATGCGACTATTCGTCGTCATCCGCCGTCACCCGTCGGCGGCAGTCGGACCGGGTCAGTCCGAATCAGGCAGCGCAGCGGTAAGGGTAAGAGTGGTCACTCACCAGTGGAGAGCTACTAGATCGGTTTGATGTTATACGATTAAATATCAGGGAGGCTTGGACTTTATTTGAGAAATTATTAAATGGATATTATATTTTTTATTATTTATTTTGGGGGTGCACGTGCTCATGTGCTCCTACAGTGTAACCGCCACTGCTTTAAACTCGATGCATTTTTGCATTCGAACAAACCAATCTGTAAAACAGTAATTCCACTCTGAAGTTGGCCTCTGTATAAGCTTCTACCGCTTCCTCTGGAGACTGATAACGCTTGCCACACAATTTATTCTTAATTTTGGGGAAAATATAAAAGTCGTTGGGGCTTAAGTCAGGTGAATATGGTGAGTGATCTAAAACCTCGACATTCTCAGAGTCCAAAAATTCAACTTTGTGACGAGCAGCGTGTGCGGTTGCGTTATAGTGATGAAAAAGGATTCGGCGATTCTTATTTGTTTTTCACAGTTCGGTAATAACGCGAGGCAGGGGCGGCTGGCCCTTAAGCTGCAGAACTGCCAAAACTTTTGTCTTAAGAGAAAAAAGCAGTAGTAATTTGACCATTATTTATTTTCCATGTTATCACACAAATAGCAACACTACCGGCAACGCTGCCCCCGCAAGACACGGTGTCGAGTCTGTTTTGTATTGAGAAAGCACTATAATCGACCAATTGTGTACTTGTCATTTGCGTCGCGACCGCAGCGTAACATTATTCATGGGCCACTTGAAAAGGGTCTGTGCACTACTTCGACACAAACCGCACGCGCTTGCTTTTGTCTCTCTCTACAAAATCAAATGCGCGATTTAAGCATAAGCATGTGCTGCACATTATACAGATCCGTACAGATCTAATGCGAAGTACGATATCTGATTGGTCGGTCGGTGCTCGGTATAAAATTTTGCGGAGCATTTGAATTGGCGCTACGGACGGGGCCACGACGAAACCGAGAGCTCACAAAACCCGGGAATATTTCGTGGATTGATTAATTTTTCTGCTGAGCTTGATACAACTTTAAACGAACACATAGAAATGCTTCAATATTTAAAGGAACTTCGAAAGAAATACAAAACGATCTACTGGATTGTATTCTTGAAGTTTGTCATGAAGAAATAATAAAACAGATTAACAGAGCCTCGTATTTGGCGATAGTAGCAGCTGAAACAACGGACATTTCGGGGAAAACCCAACTGGTAACAATTTTCAGATATGTATTTAACGGCGAACCAGTAGAACGTTTTTGGAATTATATGAATCCCGAAAAATGTGACACGCTGATACTCTCACAAGACATATTTTGAGCGTCGTAGATCCATTAATACGAAATTTCCCTAACAAACTGATTTCACAAAGCTATGATGGAGCCGCGGTAATGAGCGGACATAATGCTGGAGTACAGGCAATAATTAAACAAAGATATCCATTTGCTCACTATGGGCATTGCTATGCGGATCAGTTAAACCTGATTATGTCCCAAGCTGCTTCCGCAAATGCTCAAGTTCGGGTGTTCTTTGGGGATTTGAAAGATATTCCAGGATTTATTAATAATTCTCCTCAACGCGTAGAAGTACTGAATAGAATTGTGGGGAAAAAATTCCCCAAGGAGCAACAACTCGTTGGAATTTTAATATTCGAACAATAAATGTAGTGTTTGAGAACAGAGAATCGCTCATTGAATGCATGGAAGAAATAGAAGAAAATTTCACTAATGAAACCGTTTGCAAGGCGGCTTGCAGTATTCACCGTATGTTAAACGATTCAGTTTTCGTGTTTTGATTGACATTTTTTCATCATGTCATGCCTCACGTCGACATCTTGTTCAACCAGTTGCAGAAGAGAAAAACCGAGCCAGCGCAAGTTAAAACGTCTATCGATAATTTTAAAAAATGTATTCTCGGTGTGAGAAATAAAATTGATGACATAATAAATGAAGCCAAAAGTATTTGCACTGAACTCCAAGGCAACAAAAGGAGACGACGTAATAATAGCAGTCACGATCACCGAGTTGCCGCATTAGAAGTATGCGACAATATAGTGAATTCTGCAAATTACAGATTTCAATTCAAAGATCATTTGGTAGCCGCATCCCTTTTTTCCCCGAACACTGGAGAATATTGTGGTAAGTTTCCTGATGACAAGTTGGAAACTACCTGCTTGGCTTATCCCGAATTAGAAAAAAGTCGTTTAAAGACAGAGTTGTCTGTTATTTATGCCCGTAATGATCGCCGAGATTTACATGGAACTCTTGTCTCTTTTGAAACTTTTGATACAAAATAGTTCGGATTTACAGAACACCTGTTTTATTTTGGCACGAGCCGCCACTGACGCAAGGTAAGCAAATGGTTGTATACCATCTGCATTGACCGATCCACGATCCCCAAGGGCCTACAAAACTGGCGACCATTTTCTTGGAGACACTTCTGGAGCAAATCACTTTTGTTGGTTTCACGTCATCCTGAAACGCCCAAACTGCGGATTGAGCTTTACTTTCGGGTTTATAGCTGTATATCCATGATTCGTCACCACTTACAATTTCATATACGTGATTAGAAGCCCCTCCATTAAATCGCCGCAAAGTTTTACGGCACCAATCGCACGAGCCGCTTTTTAGTCGTTAGTGAGAAGATGGATCCAACGGGAAATCAGCTTTCTCACGCGAATCGAATGAATTATCGCATCAATTCGGAACACACTTTGATATCATTGCATAACTGATATCTTTCACAAATCTGAAATAATTATTCCGAAGTTAAAATTTAAAGAAATTATGACATTTTCAGTGTTAGGTGCTGTAGCCGACCACCCTCGCGCGTTGAGGTTCGTTTGTGACGTCACATGACATAAGTTCGGCTTCTGGGCCACAGCACTGACGTGGCCGGCCGGCATATCGCATTCATCCTTAGTGCTCAAGTTGACCATTAATATATTGTTTGTATCTTGTGAGAGACTTCTGTGCGATATTATAGATATACAATAACAATAATATAAAATAAAACGGAAGGTTTTCTACGAACCGATTCCACTAATTTTCCAATAATATTTAAGCCCACAGGCGATCGACGTCACAGTGTCAGTGGTTCAAAAATCCTAATATGTAGCCAACATTAGAAAGCTTCACTAAATTTAAAAAAAAATCCATTTATACGTTTTTCATCTTTGTAAAAATATGTCTTGATTGAACTAAAATTTGACTTTTAAATGTTTACAGTGTCGCTAATAAGTTTGTAATCTATTGTCAAAAAATCGAAATAGCAGTACTTGCAGTCAGCTGCACCTCTACTCTTGGTCAACCCATTCCTGGCCCCACACCTACTGTATCAACCGAAGAAAATGTGCGTCGAGTAAGTGATTCGGTAATTGCAAATCCTCGGCGTTCTGTACGGAAGCATTTCGGTGCTTTGGAAATCCTTATGTCAAGACTGCATTGCATAATGAAGAAAAAAATGAGTTTTCATCCTTATAAAATCCAATCAGTCCATGCTTTAAAGGAAAGTGATTACGTATTACGGAAAACTTGTGTTGAATGGATGTTGAATCTTTTTCCTACTCAGCGCAGATTCGAGAACGTTGTTTTCAGTGACGAGGCCCATGTTCACTTAGACGGTTATGTGAACAAGCAAAATTGCAGTTGTTGAGCACCAACGAACCTAAAAGAGAAACATCAACAGCTACATAGTCCAAAGGTTTGGTGCGCCATATCCTCTAGCGGTATTATTGGGCCGTATTTCTTCAAAGATGAAAACGGGCATGCATTGACAGTCAATTCAGAGCGATACAAGGACATGATTGACACTTTTTTTGTGATACGAATCGATACATGGTATCGATACTTTTCGTTGATCGGAACATCCCTCGTTTACACCAATCCACTATAATGGGCACATACACTAATATTTATTTTGATCCTTTTAATCATATTAACTAAAAATACCTACTAACATCACAATGATATTTACAACAGTTCAATAATTTCTCATAATTCTTCTAAGTTTTGGCACGATCGTGTTTTTCTGAAGCTGGTATGCCTGTATTTGTGCACGTAGGTTGTGATGGTTTAGTGTCCCGACCATGTGAATTTCCCGCGCGTGCAGTGAACAGTTTCGTGGATAGTTTGAGAACTACGGCAACATTGGAGGAACTGCGGAGTTAACCACGTCCATCGCAAGGTACAATAAATACAGTATTTTGAGCGGATGGTCTGACCCATTTTTACCGTAAATCGTAAATAGCCAGCAGAGTAACGTTTGTAAACAACTCCAACAGGATAGTCTCCAAATGTTAACGTCTGGGTAGCATAACTTTGTCATTTTTTTTAAGATATTTATAAATATGTTTCAGCGAGATACTTCACTTAGACTATCATTTTAAGTGTTTTAAAAAATAGGGAACTTCTTCATTGTATCTAATATTTGCGGATATTAAAACTGCTCGATAGCATTTCAGATAAAAGTGATAAAAAAATTGTTCCGTTTTTTGGCTCTAGTGATAGTACGAGTACTCAAAAGAAATCATAGTTCACAAAAATACCGAAATATATTTTACATCGATGTTTTTGCCTAATAAAGTATATTATTGTGCATTAATCTTTTTGAACTTTGGATTTTGTAAAATGTAAAATAGTCGAATAAACATTTTGTAAATTTCTAATTCATCCGTTTCATTCTCGCTTAATCTTTGTCACTCGGGGATAGTAGTAACAGCGCCCTTCCTCAAACTTCATACAATCGATCCAACATTACTAGTTTTCGTCGACGCCATAAAACATTGAATATACGTATAATTGCATCCAATTTTTGCGAATACAAAACTATCACATCGTCAGCCGACATCAATTCAAATAGAGCCCAAAATTGTTTTTCCTTAATTTTTGCCCCAATTATAGTGCTTAAAAGTAAAAGAAATGAAAGTTCACAAAAATATTTACAATATATTTTTATATATACATATAATATATAACAATGATCAGCTTGGGATTTTTAAAAAAGTACAACACGGTCTCCAAGAAAAATCCTCGGTAATTCAATAGTACCTCATGATGACGCTTTGTAAATGCAATTGAAACAAAACAATAAAATTATTGTCACTTTTTCTTAACAATGGAAGATAAAAAGAAATAATACACCTACAGCTGTTAAAAGAAAGTGAGAATGTGGAAATTCAAAAAACTATATTGTAGATCCCTTGGATCACAGATGGCAGCATTAATAAATAACGTTATACATTTACAAATTATACAGGCAATCTCACATTTATATAAGTTATATGATCATTGAAATTGGATCTTCTAGATGTGACCTAAGTGCTTGTAACCATTTCGCTCCTACTGCTCCATCTACTACCCTGTGGTCACAACTCAATGTTACGCTCATGTAACTAGATGTTTTGAATCTAGAACAAATTACCTTTTCAGTATGCGTTTGAATTCAAAATGGACTTCCAAAAGTATTGAAAGTTCTGAGTGACACTTACCCCTTCTCTGATTCACTGTCAGGTATCAACCTTTCTACAGTAGAGCCGATAGCTAGTATACAACTTTGTGGTGGGTTAATGATAGCACAGAACTGATCTACATCAAACATGCCCAAATTAGAAACACTGATAGTGCCACCTTGGTATTCTTGGGGTTGAAGCTTGCCTTCCCTGGCTTTAGCTGCTAAAGCTTTGACCTATGAAAAAATAACATGTCAGAAATGAATTACATTGCACTATAATTAACTGATAAAATATTCAGATAATATCGACTGATAAAATATTTAGATAATTTTGAATGAAATACAACGGATAGTCTTCGAATTAAACTATTCTGCATTTGCAGTATTATTTGATGATCTGGTAAATTCAACCTAAAATGATATGTCAGCTCCAAATGCTCAAAACATAGTGTAATCTGTCAATCTTGTGTTGACTTCTAGCAGTTCAGTTACAATTATTATTGTTTGCGAACGAATATTTTTTTTTACACCGAAGCAGCCGCGCAGGCAGAAGCCTAGATGCTGGGACACCGCACCTGCTATTAGGGCCCCAAAGAAATTCTATTAATCCGATTTTTGAACTGCCTAAGGTTAGCAGAACTGGGAAAGCCTCCTCTTGTCGATTGTTCCACAATCTCGTCACCCTCGGGAAAAAGGAGCGGTCGTAGCGGCCAGTTCTGATTGTACGAAGTTCGACACGGTTAGGATGGGAGGCCAAAGTTAGGCGGATCTGTCTGGCAGGCACATATCGCGGTGGCATCATGGAGGACAGCTCTGGGGAGCAAATCCCGTTGATGTAGCGGTAGAAAAGAGCTAGATCGCCGACAGCC